CGAAAGGAAGACCTGTACAATATATTTTTACTTATAAGAATGAGAATTTAGAAATAGTTGATGAATTTAAATATTTAGCATAATGTTTAGCAGAAGTGATTGTTTTGTTAAAGCAAAATATGAAATAGCTAATCAGGCTACTAAAGCGATGTACTGTCTAATTAAAAAGTCGACAAATATGCAGTTACCAATAGATATGCAAATTGATTTATTCGATAAATTAGTAAAGCCAATCTTATTATATGGGTGTGAGTGCTAGGGTTTTGGTAACAATTCCATACTAGAAAAAGTTCAACTGAAATATCTAAAACATATATTGGGTCTTAAATCAAGCACACCCAGCTGTATTGTATATGGTTAAACAGGTGTCAAGCCATTACACATTAAGATTAATACAAGAATGATAAGCTTTTGGTCAAAACTTGTTGTACCAATAGATTTTAGACTGACATGTTCTTTGTATAATGTAATGCTTTACAATTTTAGCAACACTGTCAATGTCAACAATCATTTAAATGGATCTTACATATACGACAAATACTTACAAACTGTGGTTTATTGAACATATGGGATAACCATGAATTTCCAAATCATAAATGGTTAGTTGCTTGTGTTAAACAGAAATTGTCTGATTTATATTTAAATGAGTTGTATTCTATTGTTAGTAATTCTAGTAAATGTAAAAACTACCGATTATTCAAGGAAACGTTCAAATTCGAACCATACTTCATAATCTGCTTAGATATGTTATTAAATTTCGAACTCGTAAAAATAGACTTCCAGTAGAAACAGGAAGCTGGAATTGGACAGAAGTTCACCAGCGAAAGTGCACACTTTGTAACTGTCTTGGTAGCATTGGTGATGAATTTCATTATCTATTAGAATGTAAAGAATTTTCTGCACTTAGAAAAGGCATTTAGATCACCAATATATAAGAAAACCTAATGTTATGTTATTTAAATCTGTTATTAATATAGATACAAAACATTATGATAAGTACAAGCATTTTTGTTTATTTGTTAAAGAAATAATTATTAAATTTGATATAAGATAAAGTTGCAATCTGATGTACATCTTAGAATTATATTATAGATATTAATAGAATTATATATAGAATTGCTATTAAGATCTGTCGCATATTAAACATTTTTACAACTAATATTTAAGTAACGGACGTTTAAGATCATGTTATTTGAGTATATGACTGATCTCTTTAGCAAAGCATATATTTGTAACATTATTGTTATTTAATTCAAACATATGGAATACAAAATGTCTCTCCCTCGTATGAAAATACGAGATATGTCTATGCATGTCATATATGTCTCTATTGTTTATTATGTAAATATGTTATAGCTCATATTGTCATGTTATTCATGAACTGAGTATTAAATTAACTTGTAAACTTGCTACCATATAGCAGGACCGGTAACACATTGCTATCAAATCATTTAAAGACCACATTTATACATAGAAGATAAAATTCTATTGAAAACGCGTTTACCTTTGGAAACATTATCATTAGCCAAATGTTTTAAAGAAAGACCAGGAACAAAGAAACGAAGCTCCAACACAAGTAAACGACTGTACAACTTCGAGGTCATAAATAAAATTAAACTATTTCAATATAAATTGAAATAATTAAAGTAAATGTAGATCTAATGTTAAATTAACTAGTTTTACTATGTCTGACTCGTAAGAGATGACTGTAAAGAGTGAGTGCGACAGGAAAAGCAAACAGTGCGCAGAAGTTAAGAATATTTTAAAGAACCAATGGATATCTCTCTCACATAGAAACATTTGCAACAAACAAAATCATTGGACAAGTACAACAAAGAACGAGTGACCAGTGTTCACGATATTGCACGGGTGAGATCGACAATGTACATCATTGACGGAAAATGTCGATTTTCACCGATTCAATACCGGAAGTTAAACTTATACGATAAAAACTAAACGAAAGCGAATAAAAACGCGCGTGCACGATGTTTCCGCTTGGTGTTTACGATTAATTGTGTTTTGGCTTTTTTGTTTGACAAAACAAGTAGGACTCTTAAATATTTCATCGTTAAATTCAGTTAATATATTACCTTGAACATTTAGGACTTAATTGAAATCATCATTTTCATGATTTCAATCTAATCTAGGGGTACAAAAACAAACTTTAGCACGTACTACTGAAGCATATATATGATAATGATAACACAACATGACTCTATTATTACTCTATTATGAACGACAACGTACTGTGAAGCAATAAACGTTACGATAAAAGTTAGTTTTTAGGGAAAATGCAGATTTGCCGAGTTCCGGATAATATATACTTGCTGATTTATACCAATTAATGGTAATTACAAATAAAGATCATTATTCTCGTAATCATGTAAAAAGTTTATAAATTGATCTAAAAACAGAAACATTTATTGCTTCTTTGCTCTTGTCTTGAAGTAAGAGGGATACATATCAATTCAGAAATATATTTCAATTAATTTAGATAATATCAAGGAATTCGGAAGCCGAAAAAAAAACTGCATTCAAAACGTGTCGCTGTTTTCAGTAATAGTTTTACAAAAATATTGATATGAATAAGTTAAATAGGCACAATGTCAGAAGTGGGAAAATGTGATGTACGCCGTAGTTGTTGTCTGACACACAGACACTTGGGGTTTGGAGCTCAAAACGCCTTTAAAATCCAAATAAAATGCATATTTGTCAATCCCGGCATATGTACTGATCATACATATCATGTGGTTCCCAAACTTAAAAGCGCTGCGCATTTTGCACACGGCGATTATGTGAAAATATTGGAAATGGAATAAAATACATGGTGATTATGACGGTAGGGGTGCGGATTTTTTTCCGGCGAACATTTTTATCGTGTGTATTATTATAGATGTTGAAATATGAATTTTTTTCAAAACGGCTTATATTAAGTTTTTGTGATATATATAATCAGTCCATGTGCTGGGATTGACCAATATGCATTTTATTTGGATTTTAAAGGCGTTTTGAGCTCCAAGCCCCAAGTGTCTGTGGTCTGACAAATACGGACATTTTCTTTACTGGAATTGAGTTAACCCAAGACATCCCTTTATGTCATATTTCAAAAAAAAAATATATATATATGTATAACCTTCATTCAACAGTGGAATGTTCAATGTATACTTTCTGTACAAATAAAGAAGTATAGCGGCAAACAATATTCAGAAATTGTACATTTAGCTAAAGTCTAGTCTAGTCTAGGATGAAGTAATTCGCATACTTTACCATACATTTTCATTGACAGCTTCTGTGTTGTTACCAGCTTTTCTTTGTTCAACCAACTACAATATTTTAGTATTCGTGCGCGAGATGCAGCAACGGGCAAATGAACAAGTTAAATATCTTTCAATTTACATTTAATGCAATAATACAAAGAAAATAATATTAATTTGATATTATCATATATTTATTTAAGACAACTAATGTAAAGGTATTAGTGATGTATGTTTTCAAATAACTCAGTTAAATCCAATAAAATACTTATAAGTTAAAGCTATGTCTACGAGACAATGAAGACAATGTTCTTATATGAAAATTGACAGTGTTGATAAATGAATCAAATATCAGAGTCTTTGATGTCATTGAAAGGAATTAAACATCAACCTGAAAGTTATTATTGAAATATAATTCTAGTCACCTTAATAAAGAAAAAAGTGACATTTCTGCAATATACAAAGTATAATGAGAAAAGTAAAATAATTCAATGTAAAGGAATAACATGAAATCAAATTTAGAACAATATATATCGCAGGTAATATAAAATGATAATGACCTGTTCAGGCTTAATCAGACAGTAGTATTCAGAAGTACATCATAGATGTAATAAAAGCAAATCTTAATGTATGAAGGTTACTGTTTCTTGAATTCGTAATTACAATGTCTTTGTTCTAATGGTTCATCAACATCCTTATACTTCTTATCTCTTGCCGATACGGATGTGGGATCCAGTCCATGTCGTCTGCTGTCATCACAATAACTGGTGCATAGAGGTATTTACCCATATGATATCGTAGAAGTCTATGCTACACATAGGCACTTCTCTGAAAGTATCGTATCATAATATCTTTTATTACAAAGTGCTTTTCCGGCGCTTTTTGGGGAGAATATATGCGTTATTTGGAAAAAAAATCCCTGTTTAATTTAAAGCCGTGGTTTTTGTTATTATCACCTAGTTCAGATTGAAACGTGATTAGTACAGGGCCGGATGTGAATACATTTGAATTCTCTGTGCGGATAAGTACACGATCACGATCATATCAACGGTAAAATACATGTGAAGTATAAAGTATGCGATGTAATTATTCATCTAAAAGGCTTAAAATCATAAAACTTGTATTTATTTCATGGATCATCTGAAACTTTTAAAACAAAAAGATATATTAAAATGTACTATTTAATATACGTTAAGTTAGATATAAAGTATAAACTGAATTTGTGTGCTATTCTTGGCCGAATTTGAGTAAAAAGCATATTATATGATAATCTGGAAAAATGAGTGAGCCTATCTGCGAAATCGGCGATTTTGCACATAGATTATTGATTTATACGTACGTTAAATGGAATATTTATCTCAAAAATTGTGTCAAAATACCCAAGTGGAGTCAAGTTCAATTAGTTCTAATAATTATTGTGTACCTCTTCTTAAATTCAATCCGAATTTATATTTTAAATTTCTTTTCCAGTAGAAATCCTACCTGTACTGGTATTTTCAATTTAAGTTCCAATGTTGTTTTTTTCAGATTTTTCTCTAGATTTCCAGTGGGACAGCAGACAAATTGTCAAAATTGTTTTAGTTTTAACTTCATGTCAAGTCTATATTATTAAATAATTTGATTTCATTAAACATTCAGCCATAACACTATTCTGTCTACACAAATACAAAGAGATTATACATTTTATCATAAGAAGAAAGATGACAATTATTTAGTAATTTTTTGCCATGGCCTGTTTTTCATGTAAACAACTTATCAGTCACGTAAAACATCACGTGATAAGTCATTTTATGAAAGTAACGCATGCGCTGTTAAATGCTTAGTGTGTCCTTATCGTCATGGCGGAGTTAAGCCCTGGATTTCATATAATATAATCTTCATGGAATATATTTGAGAATATTAAGGTAAAAAATGATTATTCTATGTGATATTTTTATCAAATTATATACCTGGTTCAGTCTTAAACCATCCTGATAGATAACATAAAATGAATGTATTAAACAGAACGACAATCACTTTGAATTTTTTATAATAATTGAAAATTGTGTTAATGACAAAAGAAGGTTCTATTATTGTTTTACAGCATTACACATACGCAAACGTTGTAATATAAATAAGTATCTAACGAATTGAATATTCATGCACTTAGAATTATATATAAATACATAAACTATAAGTTTTTTACTTGGCATCTTTTCTAAAAACCGCACATAAGATGAAAAATATAAACACTTCCCAAATACCATGCAAATGCCCGTGTTGTATGATTTACAGTTTATTATGCAATACTTTATATCCTTCCATTTATGTGGAAATTGTATCATTAACAAACATGACGTGTTTACATTGGTTTGAGAGGTGTTTAGCGGTATGGTGTTTTGATGCGTAGGAATTGACCAGAATTGACCAGAAGGCCGTTTAACTGAGTGGTTAATATTGTTCGCATCAAAAATACTTTACATTGTGCAAAAAGAGAGACCATCGAAAAAGACGTGTTTCAGTTTAAGAACCTTAACCTCTCTAATCCAATGCCAACTAAGCTACTGTTTCAAACATTTCTGTTGCCTTGCACCACTTGACGCTTACCGCTGTGGGTTCGAATCCCGACAGGAACTATGTATTCTTCACGTGACGAAGCTTACAACTTAACTTACGGATCGTCGGTGATTCTACTCAGGTGCCCGTCTGTGCCTTAACTAATGCAAGGACACCTGAGGTATTTACATATGACCTATGTCGATGTGACGTATAACCCAATACAAAAGAAAACTGTTTCATAACGATAAGATAACTCACTTAATTTTATCTTCGAAGCGTATATTATATTTTGTAAATATTTTGCTTTGTTATTTGAGATGTACTCTGTCAAGTCTTGTTTATGCTAAGTGAAAGTTTTGTTTTTTATTTAATGAGATAAAATCAAAATCTTTCAGAGTATATCGCTCATTCTGTTGCTCACAGAGCTTTGCCAAACACTTTGTGGCCTACGTATTACTTTATGATTTTTATAATTTTCCTTAAAAATGTAATGTATATCTTGTTCTTTAAAGCATTTCTCGATCCAAATGAAATGACTGCACTAAAATAGCAGACTTCCAATGTCATCGCAACCTTAACGGTATTCAGCAGTTTAAAGATATGGGCAGTTATGACTCATTATAAAGCGTAAAGATGAAGATAACCTTGAAATCATGACAAAATACTCACTCAATCATATATTTAGCAATTAAGTGTACCATAAGAAAGACAATTTGAAGGAAAATTATAACTTGACAAACTTAATTTCATGTATTCAAACGACACTTGGTATATTGACTTTGCAACAGGAAACATCTTGAGGCATACTTAATCAAAACAAACAATTACCAAGTTCATCCTTTCGGTTGTTATTTCCTTATCTATTGTAACATGTTGCGGCTGATATATAATACTTGGAATGAACACTTAAATATAAATAGAATAAGAAAAATGTCACATCAAGTTGATAAAATTATTTAATATGTATTATTAAGAGGGTATTATTATGTGTAGCGGTGTGTTCCTGTGTAGTGATGTGAATTCCCATCCTCACGGTAGGGAATCACGTGACTTTTACGGTTACGCGTACAGACAATATGGCGGCCTAAAAACCTCGCTTCACATGTGTTTTTCAGGTAATTCTTTATTATATCCCTTTTACTTACATACGAGACCTGTTGCAGCCTACGCGGAATAAAGAATTGTTGCCGCCTATACCTTATTTTCCAACCCTGTGCTCATAGCTTTTACAAACACTCAAAAATTCAACAGGAATTTTCAATGTTGACCATTATTTTTCGGGTAACATTCACGCAATCTTTGTATTTTTTTATGAATTTGATTAAACTACGTAGAGTTAGCAAAGAGAAAATGTTCATAGAAGTTCTTTATTTGAAAATGTAAATATTAGGCATGTTAAATGTTGACTGGTCATTTTCTATTCCAACACACAAGAGAAAAATGATTTGGGTAATGGCCACGCAAACTTTTATAGTTGATAACTCCCACGCAATATTTTATGTGCAAGCAATATCTATGCAGGTTTTAGCCTAGATATTGATTTAACAAATCATGATTGATGCATTTAGCCTCAGACTTTCAAATAATTTTGAATAATATTTAAAATACCGCCAATAGGTCCTGGATAGAATTAACCCAGCAGGCACATAAACGTTGAACAACGTTGAATTATGGTCAGATTTTAACGTTGAAATAACGTTGGATTTATGTTCGGATTTTAAAGTTTAAACAACGTCGAAATTCAACGTTGGCACAACGTTAAAGTTTCAATGTCATTTCAACATACTTCAAGTTAAACTGTTTAACAAAAAAAGACAGTTCAAGTGCAGCTTTAATTTTAACGATTTAAGAAGTCCTTTTAGCTAGAATTAAGCTACAATCTGTTCCGCTCTACTACTAGTACTTCTTCTAGATCTCTCCTGGTATGTCTTAAGTGTTTCATATGGTGTTTGAATACTTCGTTGGCTGTCTCTTACTGCTCCTGCAAATAAAATAAGAAGTTACTTATTAAAAGTGACTTGGTCAATCTTAAATATATATAATTAATCAACTTAGTGATATGTTTTATCTTAAAATGATTATCTCTAAGATTTATATAATAAAACAGCATAGAAATTAAGATACAGCTGAAGTTTCATATTGACAGCAAATTATGTACATAAAACAGCAAAAACTTTTTTAAAAGAAGCTTAGAAGTCTCACCTATGATAGGTAAGAAAAACTGCTCCCCTTCAGTTACTTGCAGCATATTCCTAAGAAATATTCATTCTAGGCTCTAGCTAAGACCATTGTATGTAGCATCCTGAAAAAAACAAATATGTAAATTTTATATTAATAATGTTACACAAGTATTCTAAAAATAATATACATGTATTATTAAGACAAGATAAATGTCCAGTAGTTGCAATATTAAAACTTTGTAAAGAAGTATATATATATTAAATATTAGAATTTCAATTCAACAAACATGACAGTCCTTTTCATGTTAAATGTATGGTATACAAGCTACAGCTGCAATACTCTCAATTTCAGCCAGGATATAAAAAAAATTTATTATTACCTATAAATTCATGGCAATTAAGCTTAAAATTTAACATTAAAGAACAGTTTAATCAATATTTGTGTCGATAATGCAATGAATATAATGATTTTTTCAAACTAATTCACGCTTAATTTTACTATCACTAAGATATAAATACAGCTAGATTGACGAATCGTCTTGGGACGTTCTTGATATGGGCCGAACAACACTTCATCTGCTTATAGGTTACAATAATACGATAAATAAATTTCAAAAAGGCATGACATGTAAAATCACAAATTGCCAAGGACATCAATAACTTCGCGTAAGGCCTACCAAACCCAAATCATTCAATTAGGTCGCGTTTTAATACAAAAGTATCAAATATTAGAAGGAGGTTTTGTATTTCTTTTTTTAGTATAATTACAGTTGACATTTTTCATATTTTGCAGAAATGAAAGTTTCCAGCTCGGATATTGATTGTGATAAATGTGGGAAACATTTCATTCACGGAATGACCACATCGGCACAGGACCTTATAACTTTTGTGGTAAAACATTTTATAGCTCAGCAAATCGGAAACGTTACGGGTTTTTAATACTGTTAGTATTAAAATAACATTCAAACATAAGTCCTCTAGATTTTATTACCTAGTTTGTAAAAAAAAGACCCATTCTAATATGCTTTAGGGTTGTTTTTTTAGCTCACCAGAGCCGAAGGCTCAGGGTGAGCTATTAGTATCAAAGCGTCGATCGTCCGTCATCATGCGTCAACAATCGTCTTCTTTTCTGAAACTACTAAGCAGATTTACTTCAAATTTGGTTTGTAGCATCCTTGTGACAGTCACACTTGAATTTCACATGTCATTCCAATTGGCCCCTTTTAGGGGTCAGCAGAGCTAAAAATAGAAAAACCTTCAAACATCTTCTTGTACAGAACTAATCGATGGATGATCACCAAAGTTTGTCAGTAGCATTCTTGGGAATTCTTTTATCAAGTTTGCTCATATTAATTTGATTGGCCCCTTTTAGGCGTCTCTAGGGCTAAAAATAGAAAAACCTTTAAACATCTTCTTCTACAGAACTAATTGATGTATGATCACCAAACTTTGTCGGTAGCATTCTTGGGTAGTCTTTTATCAAGTTTGCTCATATGAATTTGATTAGCCTTTTTTAGGGGCCACTAAAATTATAAATAGAAATATGTTTTTAACAGCTTCTCCTGTAGAACTAATGAATGGATGATCACCAAACTTTGTCTGTAGCATTTTTGGGTAATCTTTTATCAAGTTTGCTCACATGAATTTGACTGGCCCCTTTTAGGGGCCGCGATAGCTAAAATATCTTCTACTTCAGAACCATTGATGGATGATCACCAAACTTTGTCTGTAGCATTCTTTGGTACTCTTTTATATTAATCTGATTAGCCCCTTTTAGGGGCCACTAAAGCTAAAAATAGAAATACCGTTAAATGTCTATTTGTAGAGAACTAATTGATTGATGATCACCAAACTTTGTCTGTAGCATTCTTTGGTAGTCTTTTATCAAGTTTGCTCGTATTAATTTGATTGGTCCCGTTTAAGCTAAAGCTTAAATGCCCCAGGTCATGGCATTTCTTAAAATCATTGTTTAAACATATTCTATGCTCACATTTAATATTAGAATATATTGACAATCCAACACTGAAAAGCAGTTGTTTCTGATGAGCGACTCAGGGCCATCATGGCCCTCTTGTTGTTTGTTTGTTTGTTTTTTTTTTTGTTTTTTTTTTGCTTTAGAACAAAAAAAACATAATTATGTTAAATACAGACACTAATTTTAAAAATGATTGGTTACATAAGAGACTAAGTGATAAAATGATTTGAATGTCTTTAAAATCTTAATATTAACAGTAAAATGCCATATCTGTGACAGTTCGATTTGCAACAACGTTTACAAGGTCCTGTGCCGAGTAGCCAGTTTAAATGGTCATTAAGACCTGTCCGTGAACGAAATGTTTTCCAACATTATCCACAAACAATATCCGAGCTGCAACCGTCCATATCTGCAAACTATGAAAAATGGCAACTGTAATTAATTGTGCTTAAACTGAAATCGACCTCCTTCTTATATTTGAGACTTTTATTTTAATTTCTGCGATTAATTCATCTATATCTCTATATCGAAACTTCATTTAATATATTTACGTGAGTATGTATTCTGCTACCCATAGGCGCTTAATTCTATCAAGGACCTTTTGGCGGTATTTTAAATATTATTCAAAATTCTATGAACGGTTAAGGCTAAATACATCGATCATGATTTTGTTAAATCAATATCTAGGCTATAGCCTGCATAGATATTGCTTGCACATAAAATATTGCGTGGGAGTTATCAACAATAAAAGTTTGTGTGGCCGTTACCCAAATCATTTTTCCCTCGTGTATTGGAATTGAAAATGACTAGTCAACATTTAACATGCCTAATATTTACATTTTCAAATAAAGAAATTCTATGAACATTTTCTCTTTACTAACTCGGCGTAGTTTAATCAAATTAATACAAAATACAAAGATTGCGTGAAAGTTACCTGAAAAATAATTGTTAACATTGAAAATTCCTGTTGAATTTTTGAGTGTTTGTAAAAGCTATGAGCACAGGGGTGGGAAATAAGGTATAGGCGGCAACAATTCTTTATTCCGCGTAGGCTGCAACAGGTCTCGTATGTAAGTAAAAGGGATATAATAAAGAATTACCTGAAAAACACATGTGAAGCGAGGTTTTTAGGCCGCCATATTGTCTGTACGCGTAACCGTAAAAGTCACGTGATTCCCTACCGTGATCCTGCTTTATATAAAATTAAAAAGGACAAAAAGATAAAGCGAAATATAGTAATTGAACAGCCCATCCATCTGTAAAATTATCTTCATCAAACATTGGTAATAAGCAATTACGTGTACAGTAAAAAGATTGACACACTTTTGATACTTAACGAGTTATGCAATATTCAACTGTTATCATACTATTGTAATTAAGAAAATGGGAGACTCATAAGTGACAAAGGTCTCGTTGAACACCTGACACTTTTATTTACGAGGAAAAGCTAATTTTGGTAATTTGGCATATATCATAAAATGACCGCAAGAATTTCCTAAAAGAATCCTTAAAAAAGAAAAGCTCTTGGAGGTGTTGAACTGTTATTTTGACGTATATTTTGAAGTCGATATACATGTATCAATTGTGATTGTTATTGTTTCGTTATCGGAATATCCCGCCAGTTATCATTGAGTTTCATTTAAAAAGTGGCACATGAGTCAACGAGGTATAGAAATATGTAACTCTTTTATTAATTTCCTTTTAAATATACACGTGTAGTGTATAGCCAGGCAAGCCGAAGCTTAATTAAAATAGATAGAGTTACTCCATTTATTGATTTTTTTGATAGATGAACCTAATTTTCGGCATCCGCTCTGGTGTAACACTTGAATTCTATAAATCATCAGAAGATTAATTATGATGAACTTCTGTATCAATGTTTTAAGTGACGCAGACTAAAATGTGATACAAAATAATAGAAAGAACTTGCGGAGACGTAGAAATGGTTCAGTCCATTCGCAAAGTTGAATTTAAACTGAAAATGTGCGCATTCAGTTTGAGTACGTTTATGGTGTTAGTCTGATTTGTATGCCAATAATGAATTGGGTAATATTTTTTTTACAGAATTGAAATGCTGTTTGTTAAAATTTAAATTTATTTGGCAAGATTTTGATTGCGTATTTAAGTAAATACTCATCTTGTATGAAGCTCTGTCAGACATGTCCCTATGTAGCCCAGTTATCTTTTTCTGTATTGAGGAATTAAGACCATTTCTAAAAATGAATCTCATATGAGCGATCTAGGGCCAACATGACCTTTTTGTGATAGAAGCCATGATTTCACTGAAAGTCAAACTTCACAGTCCCTTAACTGGGTCAAGCTTTCAGCGCATACAGCTTTTTGTGTTCAGTCATAGTTGAAGTTGGTTTTCATTGGATTCTTAGTTAAAAACTATTTCTATTTTTTCTAGAAATCGAGATGGCGCATGAGATGCATTTAAAAAACAACAAATACCGGCAGTGGGTTAAGGCAGGTCTAGGCTTGGGTTATATTAAAGAGGGACTTGCGCCATTTTGTGATGAAATAGGAAAAGAGCAGCACAAAGATATTATTAACCAAATACAACAAACAAAGACTCCTCAACCAAACGTATCATGTGGCGTCTGTAAGATAACAACTCTCCAGCCGGACCATGTCAGAGTCTCAAAAGGGATATGCCCCCTCAAGCAAAATAATTGTAACTGTTGTTTTCCAAATAATAAGATACCCTGTCCAAACAACATATGTGGTGCCATCTATGACAGCATAATACAGAATCATGCATCAATACCACCGGCACCTTCTTGGAAAAACAGTGATGTCAAACAGTGGACGGCAAATCCATGGAGTGTTTGCAAATGTTATATAAATGCTCCTGGGTACAAGGATAAGACATCAGCAGCCGAAACGGATTGTTCTGGGTTGCTTCATCTTATCATAAATAACAAATATTTTCATGGCCATATTGGATGCAATGTTACACTACCAAACAATCTGTTTTCAAAGGTTAATACATTTGTATACAATTTGATTATTTTTAATTTTGTTGAATATTAAGCTTAAGTGTAAGAAGTCTGTTAATTAAGCATCAAAGTAAGAGATCTCTATCACCTTAGTGCAGTAACGGGTTAAGTATTATTGATTTTATAGGAGTTAACCCATAACTGCCCTAAGGTGACATTATGTCAATATACCTATGAGACTAATGTAGTTATTTTGACAGAGAAAAAAATGACACAAATGCGAATAATGATTCAAAATTGTTACGCATAAAATATTATTTACAAATATTCATTTTTTTTTATTTTTATTTATTTTTTTTTACAAAACAATTTTTTTGCTAGCTGTCATTTTTGTGGGTAGATAGCAGGCTGTAGCAAAAATGTATAGGCTTTTCAAAGGGTGAGCAAATAGTAGTCGGTTTGTCTGTCATTCCGGATGTCCGTTCATCCGGACGTCCGTCCATCTGTTCCCTTTTATTGTCCGGGACAATTCTGAATCAATAAAAGCATCAATATGAAACTTTGTAGGACAGAGAGATCTCGTACAGTAGATGGACAGTGCGCACGAACCGTAAGTTTACGTTTCCTAATTTTGGAGTAATTGCCCTTTGTTCATTTTTACACTTTAAAGTTAAAGATTGCCATTTTTTGTACAGGACAAAAGACTTTATCAACAAGAGACATAAACATGAAACTCTGTAGGCAAATAGTTCTCATTAGGTAAATACACAGTGCAAAAGAACTATAACTCTGCCTTGCCTAATTTTTGTAAATTCTGTTCTCTTGAACATTGTCCGGGACATCACTCTAAAGCTGTAAGAGATATCAACAAGAAACTTTATAGGTAGATAGATCTCCTTGCGTAGAATGCAGTGAAAAAGAAATATAACGCTGCTTTGAGTTACTTTTCTTTTTTCCTTTTTCTTTTTTTTTACACTGAACATTGTCCGGGACTTACTTGACAGTTTAAATTCTCAACTATAGAACCGTGTTTAGTCTCATTGCTGAACTCTGTATGTATGTGAATGTTGGGCTATTTGTTTTCTGTTAATTAGGTACGGCAATTCAGAAATGAGATTTTTCACTCCAGTAGTATGGAATTAGAGGAGAGTGATGCTAATGCTTACCTTGACGACATGATAGCAGTTCTACAAGATAATAAGGAACTTGCACATCGAGAAGATGCACAACAAGCTGTTAGGAAACTTCAAGATGTGAGAGTATATAAATGAATTATAAGTTTAAAATCGTTATAGAGTGAAGTTTTTTGTTTTAATAATTTTAAATAAACTGACATCTAAATAACAGATGAATTTAGAGAAATTAGAAAAATAATCAAAAAAAGTTAAAAAACGTTAACTTCATATATTTTTTACTGCACTAATATTGATAAATAAGGTACAAAGGTATAAATAATTACAAAAAAATGAAGAAAAAAATCTTTGTAATAAATACGTTAAAAATTGAATGTAAATAATAATTTAAGTTTAAAAAATAAACATTTGCCACACAGTCTGGAAAATTGATTATAAAAATTCATAGAAAATTTAAAGGAACTATATTAAAAACAAAGGTACAGGTTAGATAAATTTTCAAATAAGGATTGCAACTAAATATACCGTATGTCATGAGTTCAAAGCTTCATTTTTCATACATCAAATGTAACAGAACTTATTTCTTTCATTAGCTGAAGATGAAGGACCTCAACATAACTACTGAAGGCTTTGAAGAAATTCTGAGACAAATCAAAGAAGAAATGGCAATAGCTTTTAAAACGACAGAAATTGCTGCAACCAAATATGATGATCTGAAGAAAAAGCAATTAGAAATGGAAGCAAAGATGGCAGAAGAAAAGATAGGAAATCTTGAAACTGAAAAAGAACTTGCAGTACTAAAAATAACAATTAAAGAACTTGAATCACAAATGTCCAAAGAAAGGAAGGAAAAACTTGACATGGAAAAGGGACATGCCGATTTGAAAAAGAAATTAACTATTCTAGAGACCTTTGTTTCAGAGCAGAAAGAGGTAACACAAATGTCCTTTTGTAAGATTACTAGATGATGTATGTTACACCTGTATCTGCATCTTTGCATTAAAGAAAATAAGAATATTATCATATTAATTGTAAAGACATAGCTTTAAAACTTAAGCTCTTGTGGCAAAAGTATTTAATTTTAGTACTTAACTAATTAACTGGAAAGGCAACTAATTTCTTTTCATGTATAATGGTTATGAAGTAAAGAAAGCTATATATCTGCTTCAAAAAATCGTGTTTGCATTTTGAAAAATAAAACTTTTAAAATACTCGTATGAAAAAAAATGTTCTAGTATATTCCTTAATAAACATGGCACAGGCAGGAAACCTTTGCTTAAAGACTGAAACCCACTTGAAAGTCAAACTGTAAGGTTAAATGTACGCTGTACTCGCTCATGGTGAAGGGAACACTAAAATTTAATTTCCGCTGTGCTTGCTCATGGTAAAGGTTGCCTTTTTATGGTAAATGTTAGCAATGCTTGCTAATTGAAAATGTCAAACTAAAGGCTAAATGATAGCCCTGCTGGCTGATGTTGAAAGTAAAACTTAAAATTTAACATTAACTGTGGTCGTTTATGGTGAAAATGATTGGTAAAGGTTAACTTTTGTTCTTACTTAATATGTTGAAGGTCACACTTAAAGGTTGAATGTTAGCTGTTATTGCTCATGTTTAATGTCACACTTAAAGCGTTAGTGTTAACTGACTTGCTTATGATGATGATCAGACTTAAAGGTGAATGTTAGCTTTACCTACTCATGATGAAGGACAGACTTAAAATGTTTAATTACAGCTATTTTTGCTCATTATGAAGATCACACTTAAAGGCTTAATGTTAGCTGTGCATGCGTATGGTTCAAGTCACACTGTTAGGTTAAATGTTAGCTTTGTTTGCTCAAGGTGAAGGTCACACATAAAGATTAAATATAAGCTGTGCAGAATTTTGGGTGTGTGATTAGATAGGGTCATATGGCGGATATAATGCTAAATTAAATATATATGTACACAATTCAGTACATATCTTTATGAATTAATATTTTAACTTTAATAATTTATTGTTGATAAGTTTTGTACTAAAAAGTCATTTTGGAGTAAAGAAGATAAGTTGTTTTTTGCAGGAGATTGCAACCATTAAGACAGAAACTTCCTCGGGTCAATGTCAGACAGATTATGAACAAGCCAAGTTAGGTGAGTTAATATTTGAGTGCATGGTATACACCAGAGTATGACATGTCCATTAATTTCAAAACGAAAATTTACAACAACAAAAAATCGCTAAAGATCATCGTTACTTTTTATTTCAGAAATTATGTAAAAATACAGTATTCTTTATAAATTGTAATATAATTGAATTTATTCAATTAACATTTAATTATACCTACCAAATATTATGGAGGGAGCTATACTTAAATCACTTTGTGTCATCGTTTGGTAAGTTATTCCGTATATTCGTCTCCATCTTTTCGCTCTGTAAATTCTTTGTTGATATTTATTATTTATATTTTTGTGTGTTTGTTATGAATCCTGTATCACAGGACCATATCTGTTGTAATATAGGTCATACTTTTCTGTTTACACAAAAGTGTGTTTTATTCAAATAAAATATTGAAAAACAGAATCCCTAAAGAAAGCCCAACACGGCAAAATTGTAAAATGTTGCAGGCTCGGTTTGATGTTACCGCGTTACGATCAGAAATAGTACTTAAAGTATTTGCGAATCAGACGACATGGCTTTTTTAAATTTGGAATTTACTAAATATAGCTCGCTCTCATGAATTTGTATAGATTCGATAATTTACTTCATCTGTTGTCTGCATAGAGTTTATAATTGTGTGATTATTATCTCCAAATTTGTAATTTCCTAGGTATGTATTTCTTTTATCGCTAAAATATCAGCGCTACAGATGTTATTCGTAAACAACAGAATTATAGTTGCATAGAGGGCACGTGCGATCGTCATACCGTACCATCGTAACGTCCTATTTCAACTAGAAGTCAATGGTTACATGAACTTGTTCGGAATTTTAAAAAGTTAAATAGTCTGTTCTAGTCAGCATGATAAAGTATTTTTCATATTCCACATAATGTTTAAAGCTATTGTATAACAGACCTTTGTTTGAAAGCTGTATTTGGTCGTGCCATGTTTGTTCAAATTGGTCTACTAACCTACTAACGTCACTTTAATTACTTTAAGGGTACTTTTATTAACAACGATTTGTTACGATAGCCATATATCTGGTCTTCCCACCGAGTTAAGATTTTGTTTTAAATTTTGAGATTTATTTTAAATCATATTCGTTTAAACTTAACATATATTTGTGTACGACTTAAGACATTTTATGCTCTTTTCCCAGTAATAATCTAGCCCAAAACGAAAGCATATTAGTTTTTACATTTATTGATACGTGTAGTGTGCTTGTTTCGTCGTGAAGCATGTAAAGTGGCGTGTTCTTACGCGCATTCATTATTCTTAGAAAATCAGTGGGTCTTTTTTTCCAAGTATGTCCAAAGTTTTATAGCTGAAAATTTCTGATCAATAAGTTAAAATAATGAGAACGGTACGTTGATAAAGTTTAATTGTCATGACAACAGATAGGTCTGTATTCTGGGATTTAGTAAAGAGGAGCTGTATGGCTTTACTAGTTGCTTTGTCCTTCATAATTTTATTTAAATTTCAGATTGGCGGAAAAGGTTAATAGAACAGTATCACAAAACCCTGCTGCAAGTTCCTAAAACACCTTTACAACCAAAATCTGAAAAATGTCATTTTAATAAGATTTATATTAGACCCAAAATAACGAGGGAAATAAAAAGAGGAAAGGGAGAGATAAAAGAAGTGAAGGTTCAAACAATGTCAGAAATGTTTACAAAGAATGAAGTCCCCCAAAAATCTGTATATGTTGTTGGAGATGCAGGGTCAGGAAAAACTAGTTTTTGTAAATATCTGGTCAACTGTTGGTGTTTGGCACACAGTGAGGAACATGTAGTTGACAATAAAAATGAAGGTGACAGTGAAAAAAATGGAGGTGCGTGTACAAAACATGGCGTTGACAATGAAAATGAAGATGGCATTGAAAATGAGCATGGTACTGGGAAACATGGAGGTGACAATGAAAATGAAGCTGACAATGAAAATCAAGCTGGCAGTGAGAAACATGATAAACATGGAAGTGAAATTGTAAACGAGGAACATGCAGGATACATTGAAAATGAAAAGAACAGTAACAAACATGGAGGTGATTATGAGAATCGAGGAGATGAAAAACATGTGGGTGGCAGTACGAAACTTGGAAGTGACAGTGATGACATTCAGGATAACAGTGATGACTTAACACACTCCAGATCTGATAGTGACGACTCTGGAGATATCTTAATAGACTCTGAAGATGACAGTGATGGCTCTCATGATACCTTAATAGACAGTGATGACCCTGAATATGATTACAATAGTTATGAACTTAAATTCAATGGTGTAAAAGAGATGAAGACATTTGATTTTGTATTTTACATCCCTCTTAGACAGTATCAAAACATTGACACTATAGATGAAATGCTTCAAAAACGTTATCAAATGAAAATGTTAAACACACTTCTTGAAGAAGAATCCTCTAGTGTTATGATTTTGCTTGATGGCTTAGATGAATGGTCCTCTGAAAATGTCCCAGAACATAGCATTTTTAAGGAATACACAATAGTAACTACTTCGCGGCCATGGAAATTTCATACATTAAGATCAAATGAGGTGGAGATTGAACAGTCACTGAAACTCAAAGGGTTTGATTTTAGATGTGAAAGGGAAATAGTATATAGGACAGTCTCACTATTAAATGTTGGAAGACATGCTTATAAAAAACCTAGGGATTGTAGTGAAAAGCTGAAGGAAAAATCTCTGAAAAGTTTGAAACAGGTACCAATTATGCTACAACAACTGATTTGCCTATGGTTTGATGGTAAACTGGATAAAACCTCAAGATGTGCCATCTACACCGGTATGTTAGAAGTTGTTTTTACATGGAATGATATGAAAACTACAGGAACAAGTACTCGGCTCATGAAAGGTACCCAGAAAGTTAACCTCCCTCATTATTTAGAAGATAAATCCAAATTCAAATTAAACAGTCATTTCATTTATGATGTGTCACAGTTGGCTTATAAGACACTTTTTAACTGTCCTAAGAATAAGTCCTTGGCATTTGACATTTGTATGTTTGATGAACTAGAAACATCAGGTGAATTAAGAGAAAATTGCTTGAGACTTGGAATAATTACAGAAGATGAATGTCCAAGTTTATCTTTATCAGAACCACCAAGCTCATTGTTCTCTTTTATTCACAAATCAATGCAAGAATTTCTTGCTGCAGTGTATATTGGAATCAATTACAATACAAAAATTGGTGCATCAGATAGTACAGGAAATGTTGAATTAGCCAAAAAGTTGCTTAATGAGGTTTTTCAGAAATGTTCAACAGTAAATGACATTTTAGAGCAGTCAAATGTTGTCATTATGCTATGTGGTCTAGAACCTAGATTAGCAACACCTGTTTCTAAATATATATATGATACTGTGTCAGAAGACTCTCGTGTTGAAGAATACAGAAGAACAATAAGTAGTGACATTTATATGGATCATAGTTATATCACTGATATTCAAAAGCTTATGTTTGAGTCAATGAAAGAAGTCAATGCAGTATATAGTGTAGAAAGTAATCCTGCATTTTATATAGGAGATTTAGTCATTGATAATAGGGAGAATTGTGATATTGTTTGTTCAAGTATTGATCAGAAACAAATTGCTCCTGACTCTGTCATGTCTATTAATGTAAACTACACTTACACAGAAAATGTTAAATTTACAAATTACTTACCAATGTTTCAACATCTTGAAAAACTTGAAATTAAAAATGGATTTGAAAATCAAAGATTAATTAGAACACAAAGTCAAAGCACACAGATTAATACCGGTAAACAGATTGCTGAGATTAACAGTTGTGTTGCTGAGACAATTAAAGTAAATACTTCAAAATTAAAATGTCTATCCTTTGGTAGCGACTCATATGACACAGACGAGTATTACCCAGTGTATAAAACAGTTGTTAGTTACTTACCTAGAATGATCAATCTTGTAGCAATAAGTATGAGTCATATAACAATGAGCCATGATGATACTACTACATTCTGTAATTTTCTTGAGGGAACCAGTCATCTGGAACAAATACATCTTGTCTATGTAAATTGTGAGTGTAAAAACCAGCATGAGGTAAATTTATCAAAACATCAACAACTTCATTACCTTCATTTGGAACATTCTATTAGAATGATAGACGCTGATACTTCAAACCTTGAAATATTTATCTTTAATGCATTGAAGGATAGTAATTATGAGAAAATATTTGATATAATTACAGAATCTAACAAATTAAAAGAACTTAAATTGTATGGAAATTATTTCAGTGTATCTCAATTATATAATGCCAACATAACAAAGAGACTAGTCAGAGTATTGCCATTGTTACACTCTCTCAGTAAGCTTAAGTTATGTTATTGTAGGTTAACTGACAATATAATACAGTCACCTTTTGAGATGAAAACCTTAAAGCACATTAAGCTTTGGAATGTCAAAATGAGTTTGACAACATGGCAGAAGTTTGTTGATAGTCTTCCTAGTATTCCTCATACTTTAAATGTGAGTTTAAGGCGCTGTTATATAACCGGAGATGGTGAGGAGTTTAAGGATAATATGTCAACATTGACATCACCAGATGATGCTATACAGTATGCAAAGGATAAGGATCAGTTATTTCATGTTAAACATGATTCTGATGTTTGGTTTGAATTTTTAACAAAAAAGTGAAAAAGAAATTTAATAGTCATAGTAAAGTATACATGTAACATAGTGTTTAACCTAGATTATTTCATGTTTTCAGACATAATAAATTCAACAAAAAGGTGATACTTAAGATAAATTAATTTATAATTTGATGTAAAGTTAAAGAATAAATACAATATAGTATGATAGAATAAATGAGTTGTTAAATATATTTTTTCTGGTAATAAATAATGTTAAACAATTTTTTTATAATATTGAATTGAAGAAAGTATTATTCAAATAAGTGTGTTTATATTAAAACAAATAAAGAACTCTAGTGAAATATAATTGATATATTACCGGTAATTCTAATAAATATTTTAATAAACTAAGGTAAACGTTATTTTTTTCAAGATCATGGATAGTAAAATTTGAAGAAAGTAATATTCTTACTAGATATACATAAAATATAAAAAAGTAAATAAATAAATGAAAATATCATAAAACAGATGGCCAGAAGGAGAATAATATGTTTGTAGGTTGAAAAAGTAAAAGATACACTTCAGAGAAGATAATCCAGAATTTTTGCAGAAGGAAATGATCTATTAGGGGTCGATGTTGTTGTATTATCATAAAATGTGCATTGAATAAAATGTTGTTATTTTTTTTCCAATTAAGTATAGAGTAAATAATAGATGCATGAAATTAATATAAAGAGATAGAATGAAATATATATGTAAATACTAATAGGAAAAGACAATTGTATATATAAACACCAGTTATATGATGTATTATATGGCAAAGATATGGTATAGATAAATAACAGTGATATTATATATTGGACAATGGAATGGTATATGTATGTACCAGTTTAACAATTGAATGCTATAATATAAATATCAGTTATACTTATACTGAACAGGGGAATGGTATATTCAGTTGTATGATATATAGGATTATATGTTATATAGGCAAATAAATGTTAAATATATATTTTTATGAACATGTTTTGATTGACATAAGGACCATTTACTTGTTATGTCCCCTTTAAAAATGTGGGGTATATTGTACAAGTCATAAATTGAATTGTTGTTTCTATATTTCTTTGCACGTGATGGCAGGTCGATATCTTGGTCGGTCTGTAAACAAAATCGATCCCGATCAAGCACTTAAAAACACCTGGGCTTGTGAACTTCACAACTTGGTATTGAGATAAGTCTTTACAAGTAAATGAACCCATTTGTTTTGGGGGTCATCAGGTTAATAGCCAAAGTGGCAATGATATGACTACTTCCCTAATTAGCTGGTACGGCGAATGGGCGTACATGTTTTACAAACATATCTTATTTATATTTTTTAGAGATTCCTTCCTGTTTTATGCTGTAAAGATTGAAAATAGTGAGTGACATTATAATTATGCCAAACAGTTAATGTGAACAAGTTTCTATTGTTAGTCGGTGTAGTTAAAGGGAATTCACTGAGGTTTTGTGACATGATGGGACAAGAATTATTTTCTTTAGATTTTTATACTTTTTATGGCCCCCTTCGAAGAAGAGGGGTATATTTTTATACATATGTCTGTCGGTCGGTCTGTCCCCATTAGACCACATGGTTTTCGCTCATTATCTTAAAACTATTTATCACAAAGTCTTCATATTCAACATACTGGTTGGTCATAACACAATGTCACCTATTGATTTTGAGTGCACTAGGTTAATGGTCAAGGTCATAGAGGCCTTAAATGTCCGAATAGTTTCCGTTCATTATCTTAAAAGCTTTTTATCACATAGTTTTTATGTTTCACATACTGATTGTTTATAAGAATAAGATGACCCATATTGATTTTGGGACACTAAGTCAAATGTCAAGGTCAGCATTGAATGTTAGAATGGTTTCCACTGATTATCTTGAAAACTCTTTATTACAAATTCTTCATATTTCTCATATTGATTGGACACACTCGTATATAGTAGATGACACCAATTAATTTTGAGGTCACTATTTTAAAAGTCAAGGTCCGAGGGCCTTAAATTTCAGAATGATTTCCGTTCATTATCTTTTAACGTATTTGATACAAAGTCTATATATTTCATTTAGTGATTGGTCATAACAAGTAGATGACCCCTATCGATTATGGGATTACTAGGTCAAAGTTCAAGGTCAGATGGACTTTGAATGTTAGAATTGTTCCAACTTTTTTCCTGAAATCTGTTTATCAGTATAGTAGATTATCCTTATTGATTTTTGGGGTCACTTTTGCAAAGGTCAGGGTCACAGGGGCCTTAATTGTCAGAATGTTTTCTGCTCTTTTTCTTGAACACTATTTATCAAAAGTCTTTTTTTTGTCAATAGTTCAACGGTTAAGGCCACAAGGTACTTGAATGTAAGAATGGTTTTCGCTCATTGTCTTGAAAATTATTTAACACAAAATCTTCATATTCCACATGTTGATTGGTAATAACTAGTAGTTGTTCCCCATTGATATTGGGATCACTATGTCAAAAGTCAAGGTCACAGGGGCCTTAAATGTCAGAATGGTTTCTGCCCATTATCTAAAAAAAATATTAATCAAAGTCGTCATATTTCATATATTGAAAAGTCATGTCTCTTTTGATTTTGGGATGGATTACTTGTTCAAAGGTCAAGGTCATAGGGGCTTTAAATATAGAAAATGGTTTCCACTCATTACTTCAAAAACGTCTTCATATTTGACCTATTGATCAGTTATATTGGGGTCACTAGTTCAAAGATCAAGTTTTATGTATTCACATTTTGATTGTTTTTATAGGATATTCTTTTTTTCTTTTTCCATAACTGAACACTTCCATGTACCCATTTATTGCAACTTTCTATAACATAATTACCAAAAGTATGAGTCAAGGGCTAAAAGGGGGGGGGCATATGTGTCGTTCGAAACTTCTTGATTATATTTGATGTGTGAAATGTCAGATTATTTGCTCACTATGTTTTTCCAAAATACTAGCAATAATTTGAGCTCCAAAGATATGTTGTAATCTTGTGTCCAAAATATTATCCCTGGTGTTATGTCAATTGTACTCATATATATTTACTTGAAATGTACATGAAATGTATCAAGAAACTTGCACAATTATATTCTCTTTATTTATTAGAACTTTGTTTGTTTATTATAATAAGTTGGTTTAAATTAAGAATTGGAAGTTATTTAATGTTAAGATTTCGTTTTTGTTTTGTTTTAAGCAACGTGATGGAAACTAGAAACTTGAACAGTTTTATTCAGTATCATATTAGTTTTAACCTTGTTAAAGGGTTTCTTGCTGTTGTTATTCTATTAATGGATAATTGATAAAGCTATGGAGAACTATATACGGTTAAAATTATAGCAATATACACTTCTTTTCAGCCAATGGTTGACTAAGATTATTGTTCTTGTATCATGTACAACACTATGTTTTTTTAACTTGTAGACTTTTAAATTTTCTCATTTGATTAAGAACGAATAGATACAACAAGAAAATAACATCGAAATGTTCTTTTTGCGCAAATGTACATTTTTATTGCTTACAAACTATCTTCATAGAATTTATCTAAAGGTGACATGTATATCAGTATAGAAAAATGTAAACAACATATGACCTTTAGATCTTGTCACAGAAACTTTTTAGTGAGAATTGTTTTTGTTTTTTCTACTGGTTATGTTATTAATGTAATACAATGTACTTTCAAATAAGTAAAATGTATTTGTTTGCTGGTTTTGATAGCATGAGTGTATGAATGCTCATAATAAAAAGATGTACAGAATTGATTTGTGTAATTATTTGTAGTTCCCTTCCTTACAGACCTTAATTAAGGCATAAAACTTTTGAAACTTTACTTCCCTCTTTTGTCTCATTAAAGAAAAAGTTAGCTGCCATTACATTTTATCAGCGTTTACAAAATTGTTAATTTGTTACTACACGTTATATATTCCAAATTTTCAAAATAGTGTGTGGCCCGACAGCTTCATTAGTAAGTCTGTACAGCTCCATTGAATTCGCATGGTCTTTCTTTTCATAATACAAATCCTTTTATTTTTAAAATGGTAACCCTGGTAAACACAAGTAATCATCATTATAGTAACACACGAGTCGATCAGAAATTCACATAGAACTCAACTGTACCGCTAAAAGGGCTCTTCATTTACACAATGTTGGTCCACAATATTTTACAGTAGCCTTAATTGTTTTAGTCTTAGTAACAGTTTGAGTATAAAAATCCTTATTAAACTTCTAAATGCAGAACTAAATGAGGACAAGAAGTTTTGCTGGATTATCGGACCATACTTTCAACTTTCAAATCTTCGAATTAATGATGTCGGACTCCTATCCTAAAGTAACAGTGGCTAAAGACTGAAAACAAATGTGTCCTTTTCTTCGGAAAGTGTTCAATGTAAATAATTTTATTCACCGCACACCTTAACAAAGCGGTAAAAAAGTTCAAAATATAGAAAATAATGCATTATATAACATGGTGAGATAAAATAGAGCAGCTTTCAATTAATGTTATGTTCAACAGAATGACTTTGATTTACTACTTGTATTTCATTCAGATGTTTAAAAAAGAATGTTCGAATCTTGGCATGTCACTGTGCTCCGATACATAAATAGGTTTTGTAGCAACTAATAGTTTCTTCAGTCTTTTAAATAAATTCTGAGAAACAAACAATTCGCTTACTCGCGAAAAAAAATAGTTCAAGCAAAAACAAAAACGAGTTTTTCGGCTTGTGTCTTCTTAAAAGATTGTTCTGAAAAAAACTCCAGTGATTTGACCGCGGGACAGGGAGTGAAAATGGATTAATGTTTAAGACATTACTTATTATGTTCCCTTTGAGTAAGAGGGGGTATATTGTTTTACTAATGTCCGTCGGTCTGTCCGTCGGTGGACCACATAGTTACCGCTGATTATCTTATAAACAGTTTTTACAAAGTTTTTATATTTCACATACTGATTTGTCATAACCAGTAAATGACCCTTGTTGATTTTGGGGTCACTAGGTCAGAGGTCACGGGAGCCTTAATTATCAAAATGGTTTTCGCTCATTATCTTGAAAACTATTTAGCACAAAATTTTCATATTTCACATACTCATTGGATATAACAAGTACATGTTTCGTGTTGATTTTGAGGTAACTGGGTCAAAGGTCAAGGTCACAGGGGCCTTGAATCTGTGAATGGTTTCAACTTTTTCTCACAAAGTCTTCATATTTCACATATTGATTGGTCGCATATATTAGATGACCCCTATTGATATTTTGGGTGACAAAATGGTTTCCACACATTATTTTGAAAGCAATTAATCACAAAGTCTTTATGTTTCACAAACAGATTAATCCTAACTAGTAGATGACTTCTATTGATTTCGGGGTAATTAGGTCGAAGGTAAAGGTCACAGGGGCATTGAATGTCAGAATGGTTTACGCTCATTATCTTGAAAGCATTTTATCACAAAGTCTTCATATTTCACATATTGATTGTCCGTATGTAGTTGATAAACCCTATTGATTTTGGTGTAACTAGTTTAAAAGTCAAGGTCACAAGGGCCTTAGATATCAGAATGGTCTATGATTATTATCTTGCAATTTATTCATCACAATGTCTTTATATTTAACATATTGATTGATCGTATGTAGTAAAAAAACCCTTATTGATTTTGGGGTCACTAGTTCAAAGTCCAACGTCACAGGGGCCTTTAATTTAAGATTGTTTTCCGCTCATTATCTTGAAATTTATTTATCAAAATGTCTTCATATTTCACATATGTACAGTTGTCCCATGAAAAATGGAAAGTAATTTTTTTAAAATACATGTACCGTTATTTCCTAAAATTCATGTTTCTTTAAATTTAAGTTGAAATGCCCAAAATATCCCTCAATAATGGTGATCATTATAAGTTCATGTATATCTAAACACACAAGTGAAACATCCTAACATTCATCATAGACAATGATGACAAAGAAAAGGAGACAACAACTTTAAAAAGGCATCATGTTTGGTGGCCAGAGCTGCATTACTGGTACTTATACTGAATTACTCTTACAAAATGTTGCTACTACAGGTACTGCATTACTGTCTTAAAAAGTGGTACTTCTACTGCATTACCAGGCAGTACTTTGATAAAAAATGTCATCAGTTTTTTTTTCTTTGTCAAAAAAGAGCAAGATAAATACTAATTAATTTCTACTTTTCTATTTAATTCTATTTCAAGTAATGTTGTTAGCACCATAAAAAGTTGTTATTTACTTTCAAATTGGTATATATTGAACAGAGGTGTGAAAGGCAACAAAAGCATGTTGTGTTTAAAAAATGAAAGATGATTGCATTGCATTACAGTTGACTAGTACTAAACAATAAGATATGACATGAATATATGATGTAAATATTGTTTAAATCATTAAAGTTAACATTGTAAAAAAGTAATATTAACTTTTTAAAGTAAATAACAATTCCATTTTTGCTGAATAATGTTTGCATTTTTTTTTTAAATCTGAAGTGTACACATGTGAAATGGAAATAAATACTTAAAAATGTATCATTAAAATATATGAATATATATAACATGTTATTTTTATTTGACAGTGTGTATCCAAACTATGATGAATATATAAAAGTACTGATACTTCTTAAAAAAGTACTGGTACTGCAGTACCGAGCTAAAATCTAGTACTGGTACTGGTAATGGTACTGCATAACTTGGCAAGTACTGGTACTGGTACTTAAGTACTACACCCTTAGTACTGATGCAGCTCTGGTGGTGGCTGATTTGTTCCATTAGTATTTTCGCCCCGCGACCCCGCCAAACGAACAGTCGAGAATAAAACAGATAAAATGGTGGCGGCACGGAGCGAAAACACACAAATTAGCGTGGGCGCGGCGCGAAATTTAAGAAAAAAAATCTTTGTCCCGCGTAGGCGCGGAGCGAGATTTAAAAAATAAAACGGCGAAGTCGCGGAACGAAAACATGCTTATTAGCGCCCCCGTTAATCAGTGTGTTTTTGCTCAGCGTCACCGCCATTTTAACTTGTTAATTCTCGACTTTTTGCTTGACGGGGTCGCAGGACGAAAACACGCTAATAAGTGATTGCGGGGCGAAGTTTTATTTTATTAAACTTCGCCCCTCGCTCTCGCTAATAAGTGTGTTTTCGTCCCGCACCCCGCCGTTATATTTCTTAAAACTCGCTCCGCGCCGTTGCGAGGCGACCTTTTATCTTTTTAATTTCGTCCCGCGCCCTCGCCTTCGCTCCGTGCAACCGCCATTTTAACATAATTCTCGACTGTTCGCTTGGCAGGGTAGCGGGGCGAAGTTCTATTTATTTAACCTCGCCCCGCGCCCCCGCTAATAAGCGTGTTTTCGTCACGCGCTCCCGCCGTTTTATTTCTTAAAGCTCGCTCCGCGCCCTCGCTAATTAGTGTGTTTTCGCCCCCCCCCCGCACTTAAACTTAAATTCTTGACATTTTGCTTGGCAGAGTCGCGGGACGAAAACAAGAATGTCACAATCAGCCACCTTACTCGTGTAATGTAACTATTGAATCTGTTTTTTTCATACAAAAATTGAGAAAAGGTATGTTTGCAGATGTCTGCATTGATATAGGCAGAATTGTGTGTCTGTTATTTTTTCAATCCCATTTCATGACAGTTTCGTCTCTCATAATAGTCTATTGATACACTCTCTTGTACGATAACAACTGAACACTGAAACTAGAGTCTCTTCTCATCATCCTGACTTAACAACATATGTATTAACAGAATTTACGAAAAGAAAGGTTTTGTTATATGTTGTACTGTATGACTCAATCAGTTCTACTTAAAGCAAAAGGAGCTCTAAAAAGAAAATTAATGTAATCTATTGATATAACTATTATATGTGAAATTATACAATCGCACTGTTACAGATGTAAAAGATAAAAAATTAAGATAAATATTTAATTGCGAATTAGAAAAATGCGCAAAATTCATTTGTATTAAGTGTTATCACATTTGTATTAAGTGTTAAAATATGAAAATATGATTACATTGACCAGGTTAACATTTTATTCCGCTCATTTCACAAAGTTAGATGTGAAATTGTAAGATAATGGAATTAATTGGTACATTTATATACAGAAAACAGTCAACACGCATGAACGTCCGAGGACAGCCGAAATCATCGTTTTTAAGTCTGCGCCATATAACCCAAATTGTGTTGGTGCACCTTAAAACCAATCAAATAAAAAGCAAAACTGTTAAATCACCGTAGAGAACGTGTTACAGTATCGCGCTTTCTGTTAACGGTATAGAATTTTCAAGATGGAGGATTATTTGTGGGGAAGACGGGTAGGTGATTTTATACCGGTCCATACTACAAGTAGTTCAGTTTCTAAAGGATGTGCTTTGCTTGTAAGGAACTGGATTCGTTATCTAGTCATATATTTCTTCAGACCCTACACCGCAGATTTTTCTCTATATTCCCTCATAAATATGCACATTTGACAGTTTGAAAATTTGAATCGGGAGACCAACGCATTTTTCTCCAATTCCGACATTATTTAAGCATGCCTACAAAAAGTAAACCTACAAAACATTAGTCTTTTGTGTTTAGAAACGTTTGTAAAAGTAAATGACCAGTTGAACCTATTTTCCTGTTCGTTAAATGCGTTTGAAAAAATAAACAAATGTTACAGTATAGAGCTAGGTGAGTTTTGCAGGGTTACAGTGTAGACCGAACGACTTTGATTCGATTTTGTTACAGTATATACCCAGATTTCGGTTACAATTTAGATACTTGCCAAA